TTATAGTACCTGTCCTTGCAAATTAAAACATGTCTAAGGGAACCATTCACCATATATTCTGCGACAGTTGCAAGTGTTCCTCCAGGGCCATCTTGCACTACACCATAAAATGCTACTACATTGGGATGGTGAAGCTTTGAAAGAATTTCAGCTTCGCGCCAAAACTCCACAGCCTACAGAAAATTAATACAAGTTGACTATCATGAATCAACAGAGAGAGAAAATTTTCAACATAATCTACAAACAAACTGACCAGTCGCTCCTGCTCCGACGAGCGACCTGTGAAACAGCTCTTCTTTATTCTTTTGATAGCAACATCTGAACCCCTCCATTTCCCGTGATAAACAGTCCCATAGGTTCCAGAACCTAATTCTCTCAACTCTTCAAGATCCTTATTCTTTATAATCTGCAACATAAAAAAAGTCCGCAGTAAGTGGCTGAAGCGGTCCAATATGATCTGATAATATTTTATCAAATTTCAAAATGAACTATTCTATAAGCATTTCATTGGTAGTTTTGTCAGTGATGTAGATAATATAACAAAGTGAGAGGTGGCACAGAAGATTATGCAACAATAATGATCAGGGGTAGTTATAATGTAAAGGCAGATGATAATATTCATATGCATGAAGCTACAAGGTAAAAAAATAAAATGAAACTACAAGGATGAGGTGAGGTGAGGTGAGGTGAGGTGAATATCAATGTATATGTACCAGAGCACATTTTAAAGTTGAGTCTTTGGTGGTTTGATGTTCTTGAAGAGAATTTCATCATCTTGTGGAGGGTGGAGAGTTTAGTTACTATGACAACTAGTGGATTTCCATCATAATGGAAATTGTAATGACTTTTAGCAGTTGAGAAAAAGTTAAGCGGCAACTACATTACTACAATATTTATCTGCTCTTAGCTAGTTAAGTTTTTCAGGAAGAAAGCATTTTGTCTATATTGTATACAATAGAGAGGACGTTTTTGCCACAAAGATATTTTTTCTCATCATTTTTCTTGTTTTTTTAATACCCTTGCTAAGTTGTAAGGGCATTTTCTAAGGTCATAACAACACATAAATGCCCAATATTGGTTTACATATGTGGAACATATTAATTAAATTTTCCTGATTAGGTGGCATCATACCTGGAGCATATGGAGGTCAAAATCTCCTAGGGAGACGTCAACAAGAGGAAACCTGGTATGCGGCGCTTCTTCTTTCTCATCCTTAAAAGTGATAAAAGAAGATTTAGAAATTACAGATAAACCAAAGCACATTCCTCAAGTTTGCATAAAGGGAGAAATACCTGATATTCAGATTCAGGTATCCTCGAGTCCATTTGACCATCAAATTGCAGACTTGGAACACCAGAGGTCTGGGAGGGATCAAAATCAGAAGGCAACTTCATGTTGTCTGGTCTGATGATGCTATTTGGTTGCTGCTGAGTATCATCCTCAAAATTGCTACAGGAATCATTGTTATCCATTGCACTTCCACTAGCTCTAGAAAGTAGACAACTATTTTCAATGGACTCCGCTTCTCCAATATTGGCATGAGTAGATGACAAACTAAGATGATCCTGATCCATGAGGGACACTTCTTTTCTTGCAAAATCATCTTTTGCTAACTTCTGAAAGAATGACCAGTGCTTAGGTTCATGTTCCATACTCAAACCAGTTCCATCTCTCTGCAGTGGAGCATTACCGGCAGAGCTATCTACGACTCTAGCCTCAGAAAATATATCAGGCAAGAAATCTCGAGGAAAACGATCATTAATATCAATAAGGATGTCTGCCTGTTCTGAAGTGCTGATGCCAACAGAGGGTTTTCCTTGGCTAGAAGTTACAGCTGGATTTTCTTCTCCAGTCAGAGGCTGTATTTGCTCCTCGGAGGTTTTTCCACTTATCTTTCCCCAGTGAAGCTTAGTAAGGTTAGAAGCAGATTCATCTTGGGGATTTTCAGAACTACGACTAGTCATAGGGAAATTGGACACAGAAGAATCCCTGTCAGGAAGTACTACAGCATTTAGGTCAGGCTTATAAAGATTTGACTCAACATTTTCCTCAAGAACACTGGAATTCTTTGCACCAATGTGATCAGTAACTGTGACTGACTTCTGAAATTCACCCGGTTTCTCTTCAATAGCAGGTGGGTTTGTAGGCACGGATTTTGCAGAAGCAAGAAATTCTTCATTCTGAGAATCTTCATTCCAATCAGTCAACTTGTCAATTGAGTCTGTCATCTGTTGTGAAACATCTGATCGGGCATGAGTCATTAGGAACTGGGAACCAGAACGATCATCAGACTTGGACAAACGATCAAGCCCTGCCTGTTCTCTGGGAAATCTTTCTGAACGAAAAAGGCTCTGAGGAAGCACCTCTGCTTCGTAGTTGAAATCATTTGAACATGCCCCGGAGTCACCATGGACAGGCATAAATGCTTTACCAGATGTGTAAAACTGGTCTTCCACATCAATCTTTTGCATATTTCCTTCTTTGACAGTATCCAGAGGAACTGAACTCCTCATATAATCCTGGCGCTTCTCACTACCTGTTGTTTGAACAACATGAGTCCCTGTGTCTTCTGCAGCACTAAAGATGGATGCATCATCTCGCGTTATGGCATCTAAAGATGAACTTTCATATTGATGTGAAGAGACAATCTTCTCATTTTTTACTGTCTGCATCTTATTAGACTCACTGATTTTGTGGACTGAGTTCTCTCCTGTCATCTTTGCATCCTTCAGAAGCAATTCCTTTTCTAGAGAATGGTCCTTAAAAAACTCAACCTTCTTCGGGATTGTAGTTTCATTTTTAACCTTCGTCTTCGATATTGATACTTCTGCAACCTTTGCTTTCAAGCTACCATGTGGCTGCCCCTCAGCCATAGCCCCTTTTGAAGTCATGTGGCCATAAATAGAATGTGGAATCAAGTTTTCAGCAACTGGAACATGATTTGATGGATGAGGACCATAATTATATTGCACTGGAACAGCTGATGGGATATCATTTTTGTAATCTGCATCTGGGAAGCAGTCTATCTGGTGGAAAGTGTGCAACTGATGCAATTCAGGCTGTCCATGATTCATTCTTTGCACTGGATAACCATGTGGATTGGACTCAAAAGCAGGCGATGAAGTTGGTAGCATCATCTGAGAAGATTGGTTTAAAGAGGGAATACCAACTTCTGGATGTGCAGAGCCGGCCACTGCTAAGCCAACTGCAATTTGACCAGTCTCCCGCTCAACACATAAACTCAGCAACTCCTCCAAGTTGTTTCCTGAAGTGTTCTCCATAGCGATGGAGTTTCTTCTGGATCCAAAGTCCATGCCATTTACGGCAACAACATATTGAAGCTCGGAATCACTTTCTGCATTCTCGAGACTAAGCTGAGAATCATTTAAGTCATCATTTGAAATAAGAAATATCCTGAGTTTCTGGAATCCACCGTCTTTGAGTACATAACATTCCTCCATCATATTGTGCAGGTCCTCTTCACAGGAGACTGACACCAATGCATCAAGATCCTCATCAGGAAGCTGATATTTGATAGTATGAGGTTGATTATATATTATCCACGTTTTCTGCACAAGCTCCTCCCAAGAAATATCCTTGCTTATCCGGACAATACGTGATTCACCTCCAACATACCGAAGCTTTCCATCTTTTGGACGAGGCAAAATTTTACCACCAAAACTGCAGAGAATCTTCAACATTGTAGATGAGCTACCAGAAGCACTTGAAGAAGTATGACTTTGAAAACTGTGACTACTCTTACATTCTGTTGAGGTTCGATTTACAGACTGAAAAGGCTGACCATAAACTTTTTCTCCGTTTAGAGAAGAGGCATTGCTCTCGGGATCTTGGATTCTCCTCTTTTCTACAGCGGGGATAGTGGAAGTATCAAGTCCACTGTCAGAACGTGTATGAAATATTCCAAGTGTTCCCTTTACATCCATATATACTGGTGCACTATTAGGCTCATTAGAGGAATTTGGAACAATGTGCTGCCTTGGATTCACCCTTTCCCGCATAAATTCGAGAGCAAACTCCTCACCAGTTTGAATAGAATAGTTGAGAACAGGTCTAGCCCCAACTGGAAAATTGAGATCAGGTCTAGCTCCAGCTGGTAAATTGAGATCGGGTGGTCTTATATAAGTTTTAATCGAATTGTAAGGATCCTGAAAAGTCCATTGGTTCACGGAACCAAGCCCCTCATTTCTAGTCTCTGCAGAACTATAATGAACTTGTTCATAGTTCTTCAATTGGCCCATTTTAGCTTTTGCCATATTTTTTTCCATTTATTGATGTTCAAACTAATGGGATAAGAGAAAACAAATGAAAACGAGTACCAAGAAAAAGCTATTTACTTTCCATATGGCAACCAGAAAGCTTTTTGTTCTCAGTCAGGCTCCAAAATAAGAAATAAGCTTTTGCTCATTTCTTAATTTAGAAAACCCTGACAGAAGAACTCCCTCAGCTCGAATAATCAGGACGGCACCTGTTAACTATTTCTCCACAGAGTAGAACCTGCAAGCATTGTATGCAGCCAGTGACCAGAAAACCTTGAGCTAGGTTATCAAATTCATGAAAAGCTTTAGGCTATGAAAAGCGAAAGAAAAGAGGATAGGGCAAAATGAAACCTAAAGAAAATAACTTTGCTCATCATATGACTTAATCTCCTCTCATAATACTGAAATTCAAACTTAAAAATTTCCCTAAATACATTAAAAATCGACAAACATGAGATGAAGTACACGTATGGGGCCCACAACTAATTGCCTTCTCATTTTGCTTAGAAACCAAACAAATAAATAATACTTTTAAACTTCGCTCATGTTCTCTTCCCCACTTCATTGCTCCTCAGATACTTTGTGGATCCCAAAAGATTAATTGTGGACCATGCCACCCACTTCTACTGCCAAATATTGTGGCTTTTGTCCTTAACGAATCAAACTAATAATATTATCAGGTTCCAAAGAAAGCAACCAATGTTTCATATTTCTATCTTCCTGCAGGAGTACCTCTTTTGGGAAAGAAAACAATATGAAATCCTGTTTTGATTTGACTCAATTTGTTAGATTACTAGGAGTAATACTGGAGAAACCTAATTAGAGGAAACACATCTTGTTGTGCACAAAATGTATGGGACGATCAACTGAAGACAGGATTGGGTGGGGGAAAGCTTCACTTTGAAGGCAAGATATGTTTTCGCAGAATATGGAAATAATGAAGCTAGGGATATCAAAAGTTTAAATTCTTTAAAAAACGAAAAATGAATGAAAGAGATAGGGGGAATGGAAGCAAAGACCTCCAATCATCCCTCCATTTTCTATAATCTAGATACCCATCATTCACTTTTTACGGTAAGACATGACTAGCCCTGAATTTCAGTTAAGAATTAGCCGTCTCTGAAAATGGACGTCAGACTACCTCCAGAATCAAGTTTTTCGTGGATGACGATGCAGTGCTAATCTAGCTTATAGAATGCAGTAAAAAGTTTAGCAAGAATAAACATTAGTTAAGATTTCCTCATTACACCTTAGTCTACGAACAAAAGGGCCTAAATTGCAATAGTGACTTGTGATTACATGGGAAAGTTCTTATATGGGGCATGCATATTACTAAATACCAATAATGTCAAGAATATATGTTTCTCAAGGGTTGGTTTAAGGAGGATATATACTTTAGATACAAGCCCATGTTATTCCTAATTAAACTTGCTAAAATAAAAATCTTTCAGTACAGTTCAACCAACAGATATCAGAAGTGAAATTTTAATAATCTCGTCTCTTGCCTTTTCTTCTAATTTAGTCTCTTCTAGGATTTATTGCTTCGTGTGAAAACGAAAAGATTCCCACCTCCAAAAAATAGTTCAGTGCATAGCTAGTTATAACACTTGTTTATAAACATTCCTTAATAATTAACTCATAAATTCCTAAAATGATTAAGCATCTAATTTTGTAAATTGTTATCAAAATCGTGGGCGCTTGGAAATAAATTAAATTTTGTTTTAAAAAAAAAGAAAGAGAAACAATCAAACTACCAAACAAGTATGCATCAAATTGTAAATCAATACTAATCATTTTGACGAATATACATACTTAACAGTAAAGCAAAATAAATCATAGTTGTAGAATTCAGATACAAACCGTCTACTCGAAATCTCTCTATACAGAGATCTAAATGAAACAATCGAAATTCTAAAAAATGCAGTGGAGTAAACATTCGACTTTAATTGAGCTAAAGAATTTACCTTATCAATATGATGAACTTACAGTTTAACAGAAAAGCCAACTCTCTCTCTCTCTCGCTGTGGTTGGTAATGTACCCCTGAATTTTGATACAGACACTTCAGGTTCGGTTCCTTTCTCGTTCCTTTCACTCCAATCTTCTCCAGTTAGATCTATTACGATAGTCTTTTTAGCACAAATGTTTTTATTTTTTTACACGCTTTTAGAGAGTCGAACAGGAGACTGGAGATGACACCAATAAGGATATAATTGTCATTTAATGATGGAGTGAAAATATCAGTTCTCAAGTCCTTTCTCCACGCCTCAAGACTTCGAGAGGATTTCGATCATGACATTTTAGTATTTTATTGCAACTGTTCCATTTATTAGTAGCTTTCTAATATTTGTCGGTCCGCGTGTTGATTAATCTTCGAATGCTCAATCCAGTCTCACGTACATAGCGAGTGCATGATGATAAAATATACAAATGAAAGCATAGAAATTATTTATATAATCTATGTAAGCATCTAATTAATTAAGATATCAAAATGTGACATTCAAATAGAAGTCTTGAAGTGAGACTAGATTGACACATTCGCTCGTGTAAACCAACACAAGCACCACCACTGTATATATGACTCGCATTTATTTAAGGAAGTTATGACACAAGTTATCGTAATGGAAGTGTTGAAAGTAAACGTGAATATATAATCCATAAATGTAATTCACCGAGTCCTTAATATTACTAGTATGCAAACGCATGTGATACTATAATAACATTGTCACATTTATTCAATTATATCTGTTTTTGGAGGGAAAAAAATGAAAAATTGTCCAAACTAAAGCAACTTCAACTTGTTGATTTCAAAATCGGTTCTGACTTTTTAAATTTTTGCAGAACGGACTCATCGTACATTAAAAAACAAGCAAGGAAAGCAAAAAATGGCAATTTTCTCGATAATTCAACTCCGATGGATTTTATGGATCATTGTCGATAAATTGAAAAAGTTTTAATTTAATGCATCATTGATATCTAATGAATAGACGATCAAATTCATATTTCATCTCCAATGAATTTTGTATATATAACTCAAATTTCCATCTAACTAGTATTTAATATAAGAGACAAAAAAATAACAAAAGGAGACCGAGAGAGGGAGAATATTTAAATTTTGACGACTCACCCCCACGTAATAGAATCTCCATTAGATCTTCTTCACAATGTCTATTATTATTGCAATGTCACCTCTCACTTTTAAGTTTGTATAGAAGAAGATTTTTTTTTTTTTAATAATGTCTATAAAGTTTCATCTTGATCCTATTCCATTTCAAAAATGGAAAATTCGACAAAATTGGATTTAAAAAAAAATAAAAATTGGATGCAGTTTCCTCTTTTGGCGTTGGAGGATACAATTATTAGATTTTGACTTTTAAAATAATAAAATTACTAAAAATTTTACAAAATAACAAATCTAAAATTAGGGAATTCGGGAGGATAAAATAGTTGATTCCATTTAACGACCGCTTAATTAATTTTTCCACAAACAAATTAACAAATTACAAATTTAATATGTTAGATCCGATTTTCTAATTTTAGCTAATTATCTTTTTTCGAGCGAAATTAATCCTAATAGCATTGTTTAACCTAATATATATTTATGTCGATTAAAACCCAAATAATAGCATTAAATTCTTATGAAAATGGATCAATGGGTCACCTAGGATTAAGGGTATATCTCTATCCCCTATAAGAGCCTAAAGTATTTACTCATTTTTTCTAAAATGCACAATATTCTCTCAAATAATGCACAAATTACTAATCACATTCATTTATTTGGCTATATAAATGAAGAGCAACAAACACAGTACTAAATGTACACAAAAACAAGTAACTTAACGTTAAAGAGTATATATTGAAATAAATAAAGTTAGATGAAGTTACATCATAAATTCCAACATCAATAACTAAATCATTTTATATACATTGAAGAGCTAAATAAATACATTGCAAGTTCAAGAAAAATAATTAGGGCTGGACAAAATTCCGGAATTTAACCATACTTGAATTGAACATAATAGTTTTTCTTAAGTTAAATACTCGAAACAAGTATTTGAATCGAGAACCAACATGTTGGGTTCAGTTCTCAATTCTAGACAATAATCGAAGAATCGAATTTTCCTAATTTTTTTAATTTCTTCTAAATAAACTTGCTAACTAATTAATTGAATCCATAAATATCATTTTTCTATTTCATTTGCCAACTAATTAATTTAACTCAAACCCAGAATATAATTTTTTTAGATTCGAAGGCTTGAAAAGCAAACAAATCAATGAAATGAAATTATCGATATTCTATTGTTTACTTTTGGTAATTTGTACACATTTGTGAATGGATCTTATTAGACAACTTGTTATTATATAATTATAAATCGAGATACATTATTTTATAAGAGTTAAGATTGAACATGTTATTAATTGAATTATTGTAGTGTTGTAGTAAAAATTTAAAAAATATAATTACGGTACAGAGTCTCGGAAATCGAATCAAACAAAATTGAATTAAGATCCAACAGTTTCACTTATTAAATACCTGAAAATTTGGGTTCGATTAAATTCTTTTTAGAACCGAACCATATCCATTCCTAAAAGTGATGGACAAAATACAAGATAAAATGTAGAATCCATCACTTGGTTGGATCCTTGAAAGAAAATTTTGCTTGATCTTGATTTTTCCTCAAAATCTCCTCTTCTTCCTTTTTTGTGCCCATGTTTTTGGCCTTTTTTTCTCCCAAAAAATGTAGAATAAAATAAAAAGAAAAGAGAACGAGTAATGAATGGAGAACAAGGCTAAATGCATAATTTTGGCTTTTAAAAGCCCTAAAAACAT